AAATGTGCAATCCACTAATCCATTGTCCTCACCCTCTCCAAAGGAATAATTTCACCTTTGTTCTTGATGTTGATGTTTAATGAATTATTATTATTTTTGCTCATATCTTCAGGCAAACAAAGATTCACAACATTGGGGCAACACTTGTTGGCGTCGATAAGTTTGGTAACAAATACTATCAGAAGCTTGGAGACAATCAATATGGTATGAACTATGAAGCAATCAAGCAATATAACTTTTTATTTCCACTAATATTATCATGAAGTGCTCTCACCTTCAAGGCTTCACTTATTAGCAAATACTTTTCTTTGTTTCTTCTATTCTTTCCATGTACCCTTTCTATGAGGGATAGCCTTCTCGCACCAGTGTACACCTTTTTTTTATCCACTCCTTGGCATTATTACGAAATACATCCCTGGCCTTTAGTTAAGAAGCCTTTACTTGGATTCTGTTGGCTTGCATCTCTCAAGTCGATCTATTTGTCTGTCTAGGTCTAACAATTTTCCTTCCCCAGAGCTGCTTTGTTTCAGCTTTCACTTCTAAAATGGGTTTTCTTGCCTTTTCCAAAGGCTAAAGTTTGTTTTTGGTTGGGATAGAACACAGATGTTACATATTTCCACAAGTGTGGCTGAGGTGAGCTGCAGTCCACTCATTTTTCGGGCCACTCTTTGTTACATAATAGTTTTGAGGGTGAAATACTGCCATCACCAAGGGCGAGTTCGTCATCGTAAGACCAGGTTCCCATACATGATAGCTTCCGCCTTTCCAGTTCTCATCCTCTGAACCCATATTGTCCTGCTGAGATGTACTAAAATCCATTCTTTGTTGATTGCAACAGTTTAACACTTTAACTTATATTGGCAAGACATGATTTTGACAATTAATATATTTAATAACTTTTTTTAAAATTTGGAATATGAAAGTTTAAATTTCAAAAAAGTTAATACTCCCTCCGCCCCAAAAAGATAAGAAAAAGTAGAATGAGTCCACTAAAATTAAAAAAGTGAAATGGTAGATAAATGGATATAGCGGGAAACAAAAAAGTTGTTGGCGTTCAGTTCAGCAAAGTGTTCAAGAATGAAGTTGTAGGATATGTGAATAGTTGAAGAAAATGTTCAGGAAACATAATAGCATTTCTTTTATAAATTAATATAAAAATATATTTAAAGTAGGATATGTGAATAGTGCAATATTGCAAACTATTTGTGTCTAATTGGGCCAAAAATATCCTAGTGAGTCAGTGCAGTGAATACTCTTCATACTTGTTTTATTTTATGACTTAATGGTGAAGCATTGGATGATTTGGATGATTGGATCATCAAATTCACAGTTCGTACCCCTAATCTTAATATTTACTAGTGGTCGTTAAACATTATAAATGTATTTATGAGCCTAATTGGGCCAACTCTATGTCCGAGTAACGGAGTAAGTACTGCCAACTTGTGCATAACCTAAAAAATATTGCTGATGTATATTTCGTGAATCTTCTATTTCTCTACATATCTCTTCAAAGTTCATTTTTACGCTGATCCAATCCAATTACCACTATCATTATCATTTCATTATCATTACCCCAGTGCCGCACAAGCTCCCACCTACGGTGGGGGTAAGGGGGGGTCGGATGTACGCAGTCTTATCCCTATACTAAAGCATAGAGAGACTGTTTCCGGATGACCCATAGTGAAAATCGCGTCCAAAATTACATGGATTGACCGCTACCTCATTACAAAGAAGCGCAGTTTAGTGAGTCATTTTGCTTTATTCCATTATATTCTCAAGCCAAAAAATATCGAGTCTTTGGCTCCATTGCAAATGATGGAAAGAATCCAATTAACACTATTCATAAATATTTATGACTAGATAAGAAGCATTCAATTTAAATGATTAAATTAAATCACTAATTTCATAATTAAACCCCTAGGCGTAGTAAATTGCTATATTGCTAAGTAAAAGATGATGACGGAAATGCTTCCACCATCAAGTTTGTCCATTTTTTACTTCCACCAAATTGGTGTAGTTTCAGCCACTGAATTGGTGTGCAAGCCAGAAGCATTAAGGTGCTCAAGCTTGAAAACTTTTATGGGGGCTTTTGATTCTGGAATACTTCTACAGGGGCTTTGTGTTCAAGTCGGTTGAGATAATCAAAATAATGTGAATGTAGACAGTATCATGCCATACAGTCTCATAATGTTTAAGCTTCGTGATCATCCGGGTAATTTCAAATTACCATAACACCAGGATTGAGACCATATGCATGGTATTGTGATTGCCTTCTGTCTGTTGACTGTTGGTAGTGTGATATTGCCTTGCAAGTGTTCCAAGATTTCCCTAACACATGCACGCACTCAATCACATTTACTTATTAATATATGCACATGAGAGACAGAGTAAATTAGCCATTATAAAATAAAATATAATCAGCAACTAAACACACTTATATTGCATTTTGACAATCTTAATCAAACATTAATCTTGCATGTTCCTTGTAATGTGCACTGCATAATGTTACATAGGTAGTCTTATATTCCAATAATCCAAAGTAATATCACATTTCTTGAAAGTTTCATTACATTCAACTGAGTTAGGAATGATTGGTTAGGAAGACATAGGTGGGTGGAATATGCTCAAAAGGGTCGCTATAATGCTTCACAAGTTCCACCAGAATGGCATGGTTGGCTCCATTTCATCACTGACCACACAGGAGATGAGGCAAGTGATTAAACCCCTAGTTCTGTAGTAGGTATCAATGCCAGTCAGAATACATTTTTTTGATATGAAATGCCTGTGGTGCAGCTATTATTGCTGAAGCCAAAGAGATATGGGGTTGAACACAAAGAGAACTTCTCTGGAGAGGGCGATGAGTATATCTATCATTCCAAAGGACATTCCCTCCATCGTGGGCAAAGAGACTGGACTAGATACGAACCATGGCAGCCCACTAAGGAATAATTTTACCCTTTTCATCAGTGCATCCCACAAGAGAAGCTGCAAATAATGTATGGGCTGCAAGTTGTTTTTTCATTTCATTAATAAAAAGCTCATAGAAAGTGAAGACTTTCTTGGAAGTGCTTTTGTGGAGTATTATCATTTGTTTTCAATTAGAGTCGGAGACTTTCTTGGATTATGAATTGACTCTAGAACTCAATTGGCATATTGAATCTGTTGTGCTTAAAAATTGCATGTATATGCTGGATGCTAATGATGTGAAGGGTGCATGATCTTTAAGTTGAGAGTTTTCTCATCACTATGAGGTTTTCCTTTGTGTTTGTTAAGCACTTGGAAGTGGAGCAATTTTTTTTCACTAGGTTATTACAGTTTTTGCATTGCTCGTGCTTTTGAAAAGAGACTTATTTTACTGATTATAGAAAAGCTTAATGGTAAAAGGTGATACTGTTTAAAAATAGAAATATATTAGGTTGTATTCGTGTTTGCATTGCTTATGAGAAGTGATATAGAGAAACTGCGTAAACGTTGGTAGTGTACTGGTGTTCGAAAGATAAAATTATTTTCAAAAACAAAATATTCTTTGGTGTATTACTCGAATAAAATATGATAGGAAAACCCTTATCTATTGCTTTTGTTAAACCCTTATTTATTGCTTTTGTTTTGAAGTGCTATAGCACAAGAGCACAGAAGCATCTATGAGAAATTTATTTCAGTTTTTAAGCAAAACACAAAAGCATCTCTGAAAGGGAGTAGTGAGGAGTGTGTGACTTAACTGTGATGTGTTGAAACTTCTGCCTGTTAGGAGGTAGAATAGTAGCTGGTTGACGTGTGAGCGTGCACAGTTGGATTAGGTGTTGTGACTTCTATCTGGGAACTGACAAGGTTATCTCCTAATCATATGTGATGAGTCTTGGGTCTATCTGGTTGGGCTTGGGAAGGAGAGTTTATACCTTGATCCTCATGCTCCTCCATGTCATTGAATAGTTAATCTGTTGTGACTCTGATGAGGAAATGATCATGTCATGTCATTGCTTAGAGCGTGTCTCACTTATAGTGATGCCATCATTTGTTCTACATGAGTGGGATGCCTCATTGTAGGTTGGGGGCAGGTTGATGTTGCCTCTGTTCAGTTTTTCTGATTAAGGCATCATTATCGACAACATCATCGTCATTGTTATGGTATTATCATCATCGTCATTTTCAGTAATCTTGGCGGAGCTGGACTTATTTTGGAGTTATCGTTTTTAGCCTCGCTCTCAGTATCCTCCTCGTCAGCATTGTCATTTTGATTTGCGGAGCTGGACGAGTCATCGGAAGTATCATCAGCATCGTGGTGGCCCTAAGCAGTTTGAGTTCTCTCGGAAGAATTCTCATTCTGATCATCATGGGGCCCTTATTGCGTTGGTTGTTGTGGTAGTGAGTTTCTCACTTGACCCTCACTGTCTCTCGGGGCATTCTCTTGGGGAGGTTCAGGGGGTTGATATGAGCCATGAGGAGGTTAATGTTGTGGATGTGACGATAATGGCATACTGATGCATCGTTTGGGTCGGTTAGTTGCAGCAAGGAAATTGATATTGTCATTGGGACTAGATCAATGTCGAGCTTTGCCTTCTTCAAATATTGGAGCTTTGGGGGAACAACATTCTTATCTGATGGTCTCTGAGGAATGATTGGAGTAGTGCGGAGGAAGTAGCGAATGAGCACGAAGAACCATCTAATGTAAGGGACCGATTTCGTTTTGTTTGCGTGGTTGGGAACGTATAAAATCAAGTGATGTACTTGTTAAATGAATTGAGATGTTGGGAGAAGAGGCGAGGAGGAGAGGGAGAGAGGACAATCCAAGCAGACATGAATTCACTCAAGAATGATATCATTTTTCAGGTGGACGAGAGTATGACTTTAAAGAGAATGAAGTTGAAGGAGAATGTGTGGACTATTGAGCACTTTTGATCTTCTTTAGTTCCAATTTTATCTGTAAATTAATGTTAACCAATCACAGACTCTTTTGAAATTAAGACTTAAATGATGTTGTTATTGTTGTATTCTTCACATGCAACAAAAAACACAATAATTGGCAATAAAATCTCATTCAGAGGAAGTTGTAAACGTTTAGTTGCAAAAATACTAGGAAAATATGTATGTATAAACCAAAATAACTTTACTAGAGCTCAGTACAATTAAATACTACTCCGTGTCTATTATATCATATTGAAAATAAATCAACTTGTAACTGCCTCAAGCGGCCATCGTCAATCTCCGGTGGCATTCGCAACTTCTGGTGACTGTTTCCGTTGCACGGTGTCGGCTTCTAAGACTGATTAACTAAGTACGACGTGTACTGCCATCCTGAAACCACAATATCATCATTATAAAGTCATCATGAAGTCATACTTCAATCATAAAGCCATCCAACCTTCATCATAACCACTTCCATATAAACATAGAAGCTCGCTCGTTTCAACTTGATCAAATCCCCGCTGCAAGCAATAGAGAGAGCAAATGATTCACGATTTCAAGACAATGTAAGTAGCCAAGAAAATTGGCGACCAGTTTAAATCGGTGGAGGCCTTTAAGACCCTATGATGAAAGGCGATCTTGACCATGAGAATGACAATGAAACTTCATTCATTCCATTGCAAACCAAGATCAATCTAAATTAACAAACTTACACTTTTTAGATTACTAATTTAATACTACACTACTACTTTTCCTACTCTAGCAATCCTGACAAGACTATAACATGGATGGGGCTTCATGAACTAGTTTAAGCATATCACTGGTTCATTTTCCAAATATTAATAAGACTACTAGAATAATGCATATTTAAGATTAATATGGCAAGAACATCAATATATAGGATTGTTGCTATCAAGTTTTCCTCTTCTAAGACACCCCACCCGCCTCAAATCTAGCACTCCAAGCTTTACGGAAAAACCATATCTTGAGAATAATCATCTCTTAGCAAATAGCTCTGATAGGCACATAGCAGCATTTATCAGCATAATACAATAAACATAAACAAAAAACTAGAACCAAATCTATATTTAGGTGACGCTTGTCCCATAGTTTGGGTGTTGGACATCCTCACACCCAACAGCACAATGTAATCCATCATAATATAAAATCCGCAACAATAACTTTCTTCTTTCAATCTTTCTATATGAAAGCCTAATTAGTTATTGATGCCCAACAAATTGCAACACAGGTAAAAGCCCAAATTGCTACATCCACAACTAAATATTTTAATAATAGAATCGTGAGGTCTGAAAGCCTAAACCACCCTTTGAACATATAAAGCTATATAAGTGTGTTTTTGCTATCTGCTATCCAATTTACTACGACGTAATTTGCAAACATGTTCATAAAAATTGCTCATTGAATTTTCAAGAAAGAAGTTCTACTTCAGCCATGACTACTTGCAGATATGTTTGGGTGCGAGAAATTTTAGAAACACACTTCGTGAGGATTTTTTGAAATGAAGTCTCAAAACCATAAAAACAGTTCTTCATGGAAAAATAATTTGGGCACAATATTCAAGACAGAAATTGGAATACAAAGTAGAAAAATAAACTAGAGAATGCTTACATAAGATCAAGCAAATACAACATCCGACCGCAGAACATATTTCACACCCTTAGTGACATTCCGTGCTTCATGCAGCATACATTTCTCCCCATGAATGTGAAAGAGAGCCATTCCTTCAGAAGGAGGAACCTGCAAAAATTGAAAAGCCTCTTTAATTATTTGAAAAGCCTCCATTAGTTAGCTACAAAATGAGGAAAATAAAGTAGCAAAAGAGAGAGAAAAACACAATGGTACCTCAGCCACCAAAGAATTTCTGGGACCATAAAATACAGTTTCTCCTCCAACAAGGGGCGATGCCAGAGAATCTAGAGCATTCCTATCAACCTTAGTTTTGGAATTGAAACCTCCCCCACTTAGATATACTAACAACGTATAGTGTGTAACTTGACCTTCACCAAGATCAACGCTTTCATCAATATGCCGTCCAAAACGTTGGCCCATCTTATACCTAGAAGGTTAAAATTATGACACCTAACTTATCCATATTATATATTGTTATAGATGTGACCAACGAAGTTATGCTGTCTAAAGCTCAAGGTATTCAAGGTGGTTACCATAGCACATAATCACATAAAAATATGTGAAATGAAACTAAGGCAATATCTTATTTTAGTTATTTATATGTATGCAACCATATTAGACATGAATTACAGAAACTCAGAAAGTATCTCATCTTAACAATGGTCGAGTATTTTCAGTATATAAAACTGATTTAGTCTGTTCATTCTGGAATGTATAAAGATGACACAGCTCAGTATGCCTAAATATATAACCATATGGGTGAAGTGCTGACTAGCAGGAAGTAGAATATCCACTCACCTGTAAAACCTAATGTTTGGGTTTAATCTCACAGCAACTTTGCCACGAATCTTAATGTCAGAAAAGAGCTTGTTAAGTCCCGATTCCCATAATGCATCAGCGAGATTGGGATCATTCATAGAGATACGATCATTATCTCTATAGGCTTCACCATTTCTTGGGCCAAGGCTCCCTTGGTGAACAAACCCAATCGACTCTGCTGCTTCAATGAATGCTCTCGCTTCAGCAGAAGTCAAGTAATTTTGCACCTTAATGCCAAAAGCAGAGGAAAACTTTCATGTAAGGAGTAAGGAAAAAAGGGAAGTACAAGTGTGAAACAGCTCAAGTGTAAAGTGAAAGGAAAAACTTTCAAGTGAGATGAACTATTTGCATTAAGAAAAGAAAATACATTAATACAGATTTCTAACATAGAATCAAAAGGGAAGTACAAGTGTAAAACAGCTCAAGTCAGCAAGCTTTCATACATAAAAAATGTTTATTGAATTGCAAATATTAAGCACTTTTATGGTTTTGAATTAAAAACTTTCCACTCTTTTATAGCTTAAACATTACCCTAAAGGCTATGGTTAGTATGACCTAACCCTTCCTCAAAAGACGGTCAAGAATTTAAAATTGAGATTTAGCAGAATATCAAAATCATAGAAAGTTGTATTACAATTAGCTCAACGCAGACTCCAATCTCGAATCTCTCTCGCTTAAGAACATAAATGAAACAAAGATAACCATCCAAAACTAACCATACAGGAAGAAAAAGTTGGAGAGGATAAAAGTAGGCTTACAGTAAAGAGATCGTTTCCTTTGAGACGAGTGACCTGAAGATTGGCCTTGGGTTTAATGGATGGCAATTCTGCTTTTGTCCTCTTCGTTTTCTCGTTTCTCCTTTCTCCCATTTTTCTCTTCATCCACGCATCGGATTTGTTGTCCATTCCTATCTCATTGACAATCCTTGTTTTTTTTTTGAATGGAATTGACAATCCTTGTCGAGAAGCTTGGAGGATAGAATCCTAAACAATTCATTCCAAAATCAGAGATGTAGATGTGTGAGGATGTACTATGGAGTGTGTGGATCTGATTCTTAAGATTGTTTCTGCTCTTTAGCAAGTACTTCTGATGTTTTAATTTACTCCTAAAATTAGTTTTTTTTAAAACTAGGGGACCAGCTTTTGAAAACTAATTCTGATTCTGCTTCTGCTTTTAAAAAAAATTCCCTACTAAAACTGCACAGTTTATATATAAATAATGCAAAGTTTTAGTAGGGAATTTTTTTGACTGCCTTCCCGGTTGAATTTTTAGCTGAAATTTGGTATGGATAAACTAGACTTGATGAGGAACATGGTCAAAACATTTCATCAAAAAATTCCACCGGGAAGGTCCCCAAATGGCCTCGGCCTGACGGGAACCGGCCTGATACGATCTGTCCTCTTCCTCTCAATGTAAAATTTTAAAACTTTATAAAAGTTTAGGCGTATTTAAAGTTCGGTTCATTCTTATCGACTTTTAAATGCCCCGGATCTCGTGGACTTTTAACTCATTTTTGGTATATTAATTCTCTGCAATTGTTTCTTCTCCTCACTAAATATTTCTGTGGACTTTTCTTATATCAGTTCTTCATCTCGTCCCATCCCTCCCCTCCCCCCAATTCTCCTCTTCTTTAGCCAAGTCACCCCTGCCCTTCGATCTTATTTCTTCTTCTGCCCAGCTCGCCCCCACCCCTCTCCTTCCATTCTTCTTCTTATTCTTCAGCTTGCCCCACCCCACCCCCTCGATCCCATATTGATTCTATTCTAGAAGTTTTTAGAAAAATCGATATAAGAATCGATAATATTACATCGATGCAATTCTGGTACATCGTCAATTAACCATTAACAAAATAAATATTTTAACCATTACTTTCTCTCATCGTTAAATCGTTAACACATAAAAATATAATTTCAAATTAATAAATATATAAGCGTAAATAAGTATACAAAATTTTACAAGAAAGCAATTATTAAGAAGAAAAGTTTGATTGCATGTACGCTTGTACCACATGTAGCAATGAGTGTAACACTTGTGAACGATTAATGTTCTTACTTATTAATAAAATGACCAAAATTCTTGAGAATTCTTGAAACTTTGAGTTTTTTTTAATAAAAATAAATTTGGATTCTTATGCTTCATTTATCCTTGTAGGACTCTGTGTTGCTATATGAATTACATTTGTTTCATTTATTTATTTATTTGTTTGTTTGTTTGTTTGTTTTTTATCATACTCCGAATTATACAGAGGAAATTACTCACGGTAGGACTAAAACATACTCCCTCAGTCCCTTATAAGTTATAACTTTGTCAACTTTCCTTTTTTGGATGTTGCATTAACTTTGCCACTTTTCCATTTAAGTAAAGAATTTGTGGTTCCAGTTAATCTTCGTGCCAGTCAAACTTGGCAAAATTATTAGGGACGGAGGGAGTAGCATTTCTCTTTAAGTATGATCATATGTTTTATTTTCCTTAAATAGGACTAAATATTACGTATTCACCCCTAAAATAATTAATTAATTAATTAATATTATTGATTGTCCCTAGTTGCCTTGCATACCAAAGCCATTTTGTTGGTGGCGGATCGGTCCAATGACGACAACGGGGAACTCCGGTGACGAACAGGTAGATCGGTAGCGGTGATCTAGGTGAAAATTCCGATGACCAGCAGTGGTGGTCCGCATTTAAAAGTTTATGAATTTAAAAGTCCATTGACTTTTTTAAAAGTCCATGTATTAAAAAAGTTCATCACAATCCAAATTCAATATACCATCTATGTATTTCATACACTTTATTTGTCTGCACAAATAGAGTTGTTTATATATTGAAATACAAATTAAAATATGTATTTCAATACAAGTTTTTTGTCTGTATACACAAAAAATTCATAATAAAATTCAGGAATTGTCTATATATAGACAACTTTATATGTATAGACAAACAAAGTTTGCAAAAGGTGTACACCAAACAATTTTTTCAAAATTTAGAGGGTGAAAAACATAAAAGTAGTACCTCCCTCGCGGTTTAAAATTTCTATTGAAATACAATATTTTTTTATTTGTATACACAAAATATTCATATTGAAATACAATTTTTTTGTTTGTATACACAAAAAGTTCATATTGAAATCTTTGTTCTAAAAATCGTTCTAGGCGGCCGACTAGTCCCCGCCTAGGCGCTAGGCGGTGGTCGGACGCCCCGATTTTCGTCTAGGCGCTCCGACTAATTGGTTAGCCATCTAGGTGAATTAGTGGGCCGACTATGGCGCCTAGTTGGCCGCCTATAGCGCCTAATCGGCCGCTTAGGCCGTCTAGATTCGCCGAACATTACTTTACTATTCAATTTCAATTTTCTAAGCGATATATGTACTTTAAGTTTAGTCATGGATATAAAGAAATGAAGTTGTAAGTTAAGATAAACCTATATATGTGTGTACATATACCCAAATCTTATCATTATTTATATTTATAACATAATATAGTTAAGTGATTAGTTATCATATACTACGTATGGTTAAATGTAATAATTCTATCATTCATGGTTGTTAATGTATATGTATATGTTTTTATACACACAAAAAAACAATACTACGTATAACTTATCATATTTATGCAAAAATATTGAAAAAATGAAATTTCTATGTATCCGACTAGTACTCGACTAGCCCCCGACTAGGCGCCCGCCTAGCCGCCTAGGCGCTGGGTTGGCGCCCGACTAGCGCCTAACGCCTTTTAGAATATTTGAAATTCAGGAATTGTATATATTGAAATACAAGTTTTTTTGTCTGTATACACAAAAAACTCATATTGAAATTCATGAATTGCCTATATATAGACAACTTTATATGTATAGACAGACAAAGTTTGCAAAAGGTGTACACCAAACAATTTTTTTCAAAATTAAGAGGGTGAAAAACATAAAAGTAGTACCTCCCTCCCTGTTTAAAATTTATACTCTAAAATGATGTGAATTTTTTGACAATAATTAAATAAAGTAATTCGAATATACTTTCAGAAATAGTTAAATAGGTATATAATGTTATGGGGTCCTTAATTATAATTGTTATTTATAAATGTATTATTTTTAGATGTTAATTATTTCCTAAAATAAAAATGAGAACATTTAGTTAGGACGTCCAAAAAACTAAAAATGAGAAACTTATCTTGAGATAGAGAGAGTAGTGTATTGATTAAATGAATATATAACTTATGGCCAAATTGAATTCTCATAAATATGTAACTTATAAGTACAAAAATTATTTTGTTGTTATAATTTTTCTTACAGGGTGTATTGTATTAGAAATAAGTGGAAATTTTTTAATGTATTCAATGTAGAGTTTAAAAAATCTAAAAAAATTAGATAGAGAATTAGCTATAAAGAATTAGCTAGAATTTTAGTCACCTCTCGTGTCACTAGATATAGAGAATTAACTAGACTTCTCATAAGATACCTTTTTATGTACGATAGTATTTTATTAGAATGTGGAACTGTATGAGCATTTTTCGTTAATGTTTTAATATAAGTATTGGACGAAAGTAATTAGGTAGTACGTAGTATTATTTTTCATTTTTGCATGTTTTGGCACAATATTTTGTATGACACTATCGTCTCAAATGAGATGGTATTCAATGATTCTAGGTTATATCCAATGTTCTAAAAGGCGTTAGTTGGGCGCCAGTCCAGTGCCTAGTGCCTAGGCGGCTAGGCGGGAGCCTAGTCAGGGACTAGTCGGAGACAAAGAAATTGCATATTTATTTATATTTTTGCATAAATATGATAAGTAATATTGTAGTTTTGTGTGTATAAAATACATATATACATATACATTAACAAACATAAATGATAGAATTATCACATTTAATCATACATAGTATATGATAACTAATCACTTAACTTCATTATGTTATAAATATAAATATAAATAATGATGAAACTTAGGTATATATAGAAACATATATAGTTTTATCTTAATTTACAACTTCGTTTTTTTATGTCCATGGCCAAAGCTAAAGTACATATATCGCTTAGAAAATTAAAATGCAAAATTAAAGTAATGTTTGGAGAATCTAGTCGACCTAGGCGGCCGATTAGGCGCTCTAGGCGGGCAACTAGGTGCCATAGGCGGCCGACTAATTCACCTAAACAGTAAACCAATTAGTCGGAGCGCCTAGACAAAAATCCGAACGTACGACCACCGCCTAGCGCCTAGGCGGAGACTAGTCGGGCGCCTAAAACGCTTTTTAGAACAGATGTTATATCTCATACCAATTTCAAATTACATGCCCTATGATAGGTTTTAAAATACACTCTATATATTATGGATATTTTAAATTTTGAGGTTGTCCGAGCCTAGAAGATCAAATCGCTTTAGGGAGTGTTTGCAATCACTTAAAAAAAGCACTTCTCAGCTTTTGGCTTAAAAAAGCACTTATTTACCAAACACTACCAATTTTTACTTTTTCTCGGCTTGCGTGTGAAAAGTGCTTTTCCCCTTTCTATTACACAAAAAGCACTTATTTTACCAAACACTATCAACTTTTACTTTTCAAAATCACTTTTTTCTTAAACACTATCAACTTTTCATACTAATCACTTTTTCCTTATATCTCCAAAAGTGCTTTTTTTTAAGCAGAAGCAGTTGCAAACACTCCCTAAGTACGGGACGACTTGCATGAAAGAGAAGATGATTTGTTGAATTGTTGATCGTTTCATAAGACCCACGAGCCAGCAAACTAATAATAATGCATTTCAAGTTGTCATTATGAAATTTTACTACGGAGTATACAATAATATTAAGCTTTGATCAATTTAGCAACTTCTATAAAAAAAAAAATTATTATGGTTAGTTCATGGATTAGTCAGATCATCAGCTTGTATATATATTTAAAATTTCTTTAGATACATTTTTGGAAACTAATATACTAGAAGCGTGTTTGGTAACACAGGAATTGACTGAAATTTATGAAGTTTTGTCAGAATGATTGGATTGACTGATTTTGCTTATTTATGAAAAAAATTAAAATATTTTTAATTAATAAAATAAAAAAAATATAAAAAAATAGTTGAAATGATTCTCTACAGTAACTTCATTATTACTTTTTCTTATTAATATACAATTTAGCGCGTGAAATCAATATTTATGTGTTTGGTGAAAAAGTGTCTGATAAATCTGATAAGCCAAAAAACGGAGTCTTCAAACGGGCTCTCCGTATAACATTAATTTTCAATGGTTTTAGTTTAGTATAACTATTTAAAATGAAGATTGAATTCTTTCACTTTCCTTTCACTTCTTACCATCCCAAGTGCCCAACCAAACACAAGTTTTTCATTTTATTCCATCCTCTACATATTCTTCGACCAAACATAACTCATGCTCTTTTTTCATATGTATTAAGATTTAAGAATGTCATTGTTCTTTATTGGACATGATGCCGGTTAGTTCATTCCGTAAACCAGATAGAGATATAAAACAAAACACTTCTCATATTGACATTTCATCGTCTGCCTCCATCTACCTTCATTCAAACTTTCATTAATAATGTCACAAGTAATAAAGAACAAAGAGGCTAAGCTAAAAAGAACTCAGCTTCAATCAATATATAACTCGCTATCTGCAATAAGAATATCATTTCCATCTTATATGTCTTAGCCACAATGGGCATTAAAAATTAGTAATGAACAAATCATAAATTGCTGTCCAAATGTAGCCTGCATGCCTGTCTTGTTGGTCAACTAAACTTGCTAACTACACACTGTATGGCTCATTTCAGTTCAGTTTTAAATTGGGTGGTTGTGTGAAAACTCGGATGAAGAAGGATCATGGAAATTGGAAGGAGCCACCGATTTGGTTTGTGTTGTCGGGCGGATTGATTGCAACCCAAAGAAGGGATATAATGATAGAAACAAGACCAGACCAGACGAACACAATGGTTGGCGTTCGGCCTCTACGGCCCATAAGCCCTTTGGCGAAAGGATAGAGATGCGCCAAAACCCAAAAGCTGAAGAAAACGCCTCCTATCAGTCGGCTCCATTGTGGTATCACACTGTATATTGTCCGGCTAAACCCAACCGCTATCGCTATTAAGTTGACCATCATGATGGTGATGGGTGGGATCATGAGTGACGACCACTTGACGATGTATAGATCGCTAAACTCGTCATCCTCGTCATCTCCTCCGGACTTTGAAGTCAATGTGAATGAAATCTCAATTCCGGCGACGACTTTCAAGAGGCCCTGAAGAACGGCGGCCAGGTGGGCACTTGTCCCTCCGATCAACCAAAACTGCTCATTTCTCCACCACTCCTCCAACTCAATTCCCGCCCATTTAACCTCAAGCACCGCGAGTATACAAAGAGTGACTGTGATGGTTAGGAGGTAGGTGAGGAATGTGACGTTTAAAGTTTGGACAATGAATTGCCCTGAGAAAAGGGAAAGCGCGGGAAGGAAGCAATACACAATTAGGAATATGGATGTGAAGGGGTAGATTCCTACATTGAGGTATGCGATTCTCTGTAAGAACTTCATTTTTGAGCTGGCCAGGAGGGCATTGTTCCGGGAGAAGAATATTTCAACAGAACCCGTGGCCCAGCGAAGGACCTGGTGAAGCCTGTCAGTGAGGTTTATAGGGGCGGTCCCACGGAAGGCATCTCGTTTTGTCACACAGTAAACTGACTTCCACCCCCTGTTGTGCATCCTATATCCCGTGACGACGTCCTCTGTAACTGACCCGTAAATCCATCCCACTCGCCGGCCCCACTCGGTCTTCTCCTCGTACCAGCAGGAGATGACACTGATTGCCTCGGCAACAGTAGTTGCATCTAGAAGGTCCCGAGGAATGGTCAGAGCACCAGGCGGTCTTCCGTTTTTAACTGATGGATGATCGGATAACGGGCGGCCCTGAAACTCTGCAACCGGAATCGAATCAATTAGCACAGCTGAGTTCCCGAAAGCTCTGGGAGCCAATGAGAGATTCATTTCTTCATCATCTGAATCGCTGCCACCACCAAGTCGGAGGGCCCGATGCTCTTCTGAGTTGGCATGCTTCACATTTTTTTTGCTACGGCCAGGACAGCAGCAACCACAGAGAACAGTGTGGTGGTCTTTGGACCTGGGAGGGTCAAATCCATAAAGTGCAATGCGTCTGAAGAGGCAACCAGTACCCACGTAAACGGGCCCCTGAAGCCCATCAAGGGCTCGCATGTTCCCGTCAAAGAATACGGTGTTGCGATTGGCATACCTATCGGATGGATCGATACCCTCAAACCTCTGAGGAAACTGAACATAGCAGAGGCGGTCACCGCCTCTGTCCATCATGAAACACATTCCTTCCCTCAAAGCCTGGGAGTTGTAAATATAATGGTCACAATCCAGGTTAAGAATGAAGGGACCGTTTGACATGATTGCAGAGGCTCGAACAAGGGCATTCATGGCTCCTGCCTTCTTGTTGTGGTCATACCCGGGCCGCTTTTCACGAGACACGTAAACAAGCATGGGGAGACGAATGTCTACATCTGTCAGGTCAATCAAACCCTCGTCTGTTGAGCCGTGTAATGGGTCATCACTTGGTGGTTTCAACATCACCTGTGCGCCATTTACAAAGAAGTTAGATTGGCATTTAGATGATTTTATCATCATCATCATCATCATTTATAATAGGCCAGATATCCTAAAATGATTGGAAAATTACCTCTATATGACTAATACACGTAATTGTTCCTAATATATGTCTAGAAAGAGTTGCATGTCATGTATGCATAAATATACAATCATGTGGATCGTGTGAGTTAAAAAAAAAATGGATCGTGTGAGTTAATCCAATTGAGAGGAAACCGTGATATTAAAATCATTCCCAAGTGCTTACGAATACATGGAACACCTTTTCTTAAACAAAACCTGATACTCATATATTGGGAAGAAGCCTGTCTTTTTGTCCTGTCTCGCGTAATTTTCTAAAAAAGATCCTAAATTTTTAAGAAAGAAACTCAATAGTGGACCTTCAGCTTTCTAGAAAAGTACCTGAAGAATACAAGAAGTGATACTATAAAATCAATTGCATCAAAAAACATTTCATTCAAACTTTTCCTACGATTCGGGGTGAATTTTATGGATGCATAGTGATTTTCTATTGCAACGAACATTATCATTGCTTATAGCATTCTTCATGTGCATAACTGTTCCACATACACAATAGACCATATGTTCAAGTCAATCATGAATTTGCTAAAGTTCAGCATCATTATTGAGATACTTTAGCTAGTTCAGAGCCCTTTTAGGTATTTGTCATTTAGAATAAGCACCGATGTAAAAGTACCTGTATTATTCCAGCATGATCACCCCTGGATTGCTCAGGTGCAGAATTAATCCATGTCCCGGGCCAATGAGTTCCATCTGCCATCCATGTAGCTTTTGGAATCTTTAAAATCTCCATAGGTTCACCATCTTCAGCCTTTTCTCTATGTTGTTGTTTCATTGATTTAATCTCCTCCCTAGCATGATAAGCATCGGATCTACGTCTAATAGAGTCCGGTAGGCCATTGATTCGGACCTTAAATTCATCATACTCACGCTTTACCCTTCTCCGGTCCTTTACAAAATCAGTTTTCACCTTGTTCTTATATGGGTCTTTTTTCAAATTGAAATAGCTTTCTGGGTTCCTCGGTTCAATATTATGTTTACGGCAAAAGGGAACCCACACATTAGCAAAGCTTGCAGCTTCTGCCATGGCTTCAAAAGTCAAAAGTGCCCCTCCATCATCAGAAACATAACAAGCAAGCTTTTCAACAGGGTAATCTGCAGCCAAAATGGACAATATAGTGTTTGCAGTGACAAGAGGGGGTTCCTTTTCTGGGTCTGCAGTAGAGACAAATATGTCTACGCCAGGTAGATCAGATTTTCCAGTAGGGTTGTTTGGTGTAGGCAATTCGAACTTGTCTTTTAAAACATTAAGGTCAGTAGCACGATTAATAGGGCAAAGCTTGGGCAGTATATCAAGAATCCACGAGAAAGCAAACCAAATTTCACAGACCACAGACATTCCCCATAGCCAAACTGCGTCATTGTTGGGATGTTTGACTCTCCATGTCAAGAAAAACCCAAGAACAATCATCCGAACAAAAACCAAAAGCCTGATGGAAAAGTAAGAGAGAGCGGGAAATTTTTATGAGTTCAAGTGTGTCAGATAAGTTAGAGTTCAAAGTACTAATATCCAACATAAGCAAGTAAAGAAAATAAACTCTTGTTTATTTTAATATTCTCTCAACAAAAGGAATCTCCCATAATCTGACAAGATGAGTGTCACTCCGAATATTGGAAGAAGCACATTTAGGAGATATAGAATCTGTTTAAGAAAATAATGATACATTTATGCATAACCAACTTTTAAAACATTCAGCTATAGATGCTTCAAATGAAACGCCTAGGCAACAAATCTAGTGAAGATACGGTTTTGCATTATCAACATGTGGCATTGAACTACAAATACGGTAAGTATCTCAAGATTTAGCCAAAGATGTTTTTTACAATTGTCATTTAACAAAGAATAAAATGATAATAATAATAAGAGGCTTTTCCTAAAATATTACTTAAAAATAACTTATGAAAAAAATGTGACTATAGTTACTATGAGTATGTCATGGTCAATCTAATGTAAAAATGAACATAGACACAGGCACTTAAAGCTACAAAGATGGTCACAGTATATTAAGTCACATGTTTGTTCATTATTTTTATTTGTCATATATTAATCATTATTTCTAATAATAATTATAGTAACAATACAGTAAAAGAAAGATCTTTGAGAAATCATTCAATGATTAAAAGAGATGAAACAGATCAATGTCCTGTTTCCTTATCAGAGCATTTTAATTGGAATTTCAATAACAATTTTACGCAGCAAAAAGATGAGACGAACAGCATTTACCTATATGGACTGATAATGGCAGCAGGAATCTTCAATTTCCGGGTGAGAGGCCTCCATGGTTTATTCATTAACTCTGATGGTTCGGCAACATAATCACCCTTCCCATTTGCAATCCCTGCTTCCTTTGGCCATATAGCATTGCCATACCCATATGTGCCCCTCGTCTCAAAAAGCCATCTGTTTTGATCAAAGTCTCCAGTCTGGCTCCTCATTAGCACTGACTTTGTTGATTTCATCAAGGACAGTCTTCTCTCCATTCTTGACATCCCGGGAGGAGCTGGCAGTGAGAGTGGCCTTCTACTTTCTGCCATTTCTTCCAAGTCAGTGGTCTTATATGACTCTTTACAACCAGGACATACTGCATCACCAGCTTTAACAGAATCAACGTAACAATCCCGACATATTTTGAAATCACATTCACAAGGAAGGATATCATTCCCCCTTTCATCGCTCATCACTTTAGAGTCGCACCCTGGTATGGAACATGATGATCCTTTTGCACCAGCCATTTGAGGATGGTTTGACTCTGATTCAATCACCTTATCCATGAGATGTGCTCGAGTGGCAGAGTTAAATCCTCCTGTAAAAAGTGAATTTGATACATACTGCTCCTCAACTTTCTGGGAAATCATAGGTTGGTTATCGGGGGTGGGTGGTATATGTACCACATAGTTCATAAATTCACTCCCAAGTTCACTGTCAAGATCATCCCTAGAGTAATTCCCGTATCGCCCAGATGAGGTTCTTCGATCAAAGGTCACTGTAGGGGGCAGTGGAGGCTTGCCATTTTGTGAATCTTGAGCATCTGATGATATTGAGAGTGACGACCTGCTTTGGTTGAATGGTTTTGATGCCATTTCTGAGGACCCAAAATTAAAAATCCAGATCCTGTGAGCAAAAAATGTACACACAAATTTTATTAATATCTGACCATTTTATAACAATAGCAGAAAAATTAGCTGATATTAAACCAGAACATTGTATAATGTTTTCAACAATACATATTTGTATATAAAAAAGGAAAGGATAAAGACTTAAAGAGATCAGGTCAAAACTAATGCCACATGAGAATCTAACTCTATCAGTTATGATGAGATATAAGTGCGAACACAAATATAAATCACGAGTCTCATAAATACTCGGCAGCATCTCAGCAGGTGCAGCAGAAACGTGAAAACCAGTTCAAATCAAGTCCGACACTAGTCAAAATCGATCTTAATGGCTTCAAAGCATCAAAACAGACAAATCCAATCAACGCTTTCGATATACAGAGATCAGGACCTCTGAACTACACTCCTGATAGCGACTGCAAATTTTTGCTTCCCACCAAGGAACAAATACAAACACACCCTCACAAAACTAAGCGATCATAAGAATGCTGCAAGATAAGGCACACATACCAGTCAACGATTAGTAGAGGAATCGAAGAGCCATCGTTTCAGACTTTCAGGTTCGACTTGTGGATCTTCAATCCCAGCGTTGGTGAGCCAGAAAGGTTAACTACAGCGTCAAGCTGAATGCATCATCGAGCATTTGAGCCTACTTTCACCATACCTATACATCCAGTTTCGATTAAAGGAACGCGAGAAATCAGAAAACAGATTGCAGCCAGAAGCTGTGAAATTTTATGAGGTACAAGACCGAAGTAACGAATGATACCGTTTCAATGCTGTGAATGAAATGCTTCTCCGAGTTGAGACACACTGCTCCAAAACTAATGCTGCAACTACTACCAACTGGCGGTGAATTCGGCCGGACTGCCGTCAACCGCCGGTGCACAGCTCAACTCAACTCAACCCAGGCTAGCAATTTTTCTGCTACGATCTTTATAATCCGGCCGCAGAAGAAGAAGATAACATAGTTTTGATTAATTTATCAGCATTTTGCTTTTTAAAATGGATTCAGGGAAGCTGGCAGCAAGCCGGTATGATGAATGGGTGCGCTGTTTCGGACAAGATTTTCAATATTTTCTATAGTTGGACTGATGACATGGTAAACGCGTTAATTCGCAAATGATGAAGGGTAGTATTGGCATTAAATGGGATAATTTATTCCAAAGTGCTTTTTTAATTAGTTTGATGTCATCACTCAAAATAGGGTCATACTCCTCTCCATTTCTTTCTCTTCATTTAGTCTCTCCATTTCTTTTTCACTCTATCTCTCTCATTAAAAATAATAATTAAATCTCATCTTTTATTTTTTTTCCTACCCCACCATTTCCCCATTTGTCTCTGTATCTCTCCTACTGGAGAAGTCCTGGAGAGGAGTAAAATTCCTCCAAATATGTAAAATCCACTTGCATTGGCACAAATTTATACGAAAGAATGAATCTTATTTTCTATTGTTTTTAACTTGAAAAAAAGATAGAAACATAGGATTCAAATCTACACAGAGTTTTTATTTTGAAAGAAATCTACACAGAGTTCAAAAATAGGACTAGGTATATTTTGTTTTCAAAATAGGATTTATTTAGTCATATTAATATAATAAGTTGATTAAAACCTTCCAAATTAGGAGTGAATGAGTTCTATTTTGAGAATAAATAGTGGTGGTCTTATTTATGAACATTATCTTTGTTTTAATCATATTTAGGGAATTTTCTCAAAAACAAAAACAGTAATAGAGATTTGTAAATTCTAAAAGGTAAATTGATATATTCAAAGATAAAGTTAGAAAGTGAGCTTAGTTAAATTCAAATGAGAATGATTGTTGTCTAATTTGATCCATCCATCATACATTACTGCTTTGCTATATGGAGTTATTCCTGTTTTAGTTTTATAAGAATTTTTAGGTATAGATTATCCTTGTAAGAAAGTCAAAATAAAATAGGGAGACAAGAGGATAAAAAGTTTATAGAAACACTATTAAAAAAGAGAATAACTCTAGAAAATGATCGCAAGGAAATTATGAGAACTATAATTAAAGCATTATTACTCAATTCGTCCTTGACTTTTTAACTCAATTTAATTTATACCAATATTGCACTTACATTTAATTTGGTCAATGACATATTTCTCTCAAACTATATTTCGGGCCAAAGAATTTTTCTAATCTTAACGGATAAAAGAACAATAAGATGAAAGTGAATTAAAAATGAAAATTAAAATATATACAACAACATCCAAGACAGTCTGAGAAGATTTTGGAGTAAGTTAATAATAATTGATACTCTATATATTCTAATTCATGTCATGTAACGTGACTAAGTGATACTGTTAATATTCACCCGTTTACCACAACATTATCGTATCTTTAAAAAGTTTCTAGATGACATTTGGAGGAAAAAAAAGTTGAGTTCAAGTTGAACTCAACTTGAACCTGGAGATTTCCTAGAGCAGACTGGTACAAGTTGAACGTTGATGTTGCCTGGGGGAATTCCAGGCGAGGACTGGGCTGGGGTGATTCGAAATGAGTCTGGTCAGTTCCTTGCATGGGTGCTAAGAAGGATTGGGGAAGCTCTTCTCCTTTGGAAGCTGAATTATTGAGTATCCGAGAAGCACTTAGCTGGATTAAATCACAAGGCTGGGATGGTATTGAAGTGGAGTCTAATGCTCAAGCTGCCATTTCAGAAATTAGCAAGGGGTCGAGCATCTCTGTGATGGGCATCCTAGCCGAAGACATTCGAAATATTAGTATAGAAGGTTTACCAATATTACCTTCTCTTTTGTGGGTCGATCAATGAACAAAGTTGCTCATAAGTTGGCTGAGCAGCTTGTTCTTTTGTTTGATTATTATATTTGGGTGGACACTCCCCGTCTTGTATTGTTGGAACTTTGAACTTTGACTTGATTAATGCTAATTAAGTTTATTTCCTTAAAAAAAAGTTGAGTTCTTGATGAATTCAGTTTCATATAGTCATGGACTCGGGCCGGGCCGGTTCCGGTTCCGGGCTGGGCCCGGCCTGGCTTTTTTTTGGGAAGGAAGGCCCGGGACCGGCCCGGGTAGCCACCGGGTCCGGTCCGGGTCCGGGCCGGGCTGGGCCTCCAGTTCGGTCATAATTTTTTTTTTTTTTGCTTTCCTAACCCCCCACTCACCCCCCACCCCCCCCACCCCAAACCCCCAAACCCCTCCTAACCATCAAGCCCAACCCGGCTAACCCCAAAAAATGAAAAAAAAAAAAAAAAAAATCAATTCGGCCCGGGCCCGACCCGGCCGGGCCGGTTCGCCAAATACAAGGCCCGAGCCTGGACCCGTCCCCCCACCGGGCCTAGGCCCGACCCGGACCCGGACCCGAGAACCGGGCCGGTTCCGGGCCCGCACAGTGGCGGGCCGGGCCGGTCCTGGGCCGGGCGGCCCGAACCGGGTCCATGCCTAGTTTCATATAATGGACGATGGATCCTTCTCCTTCCCGCAAATGTTTTAACACTTCTTTTGTTGTCCCTATCAATTTAGAATAAGATGTATAGACACATGCTCCTTTATGTCTCCTTAATATTTGGAGAATTGTTACTCATCAAAATTATTGTCTAACAATAAGAGATCTCAAACTTGCTATCTTAATGTTGGTTAAGATAATCTTCATATTATCCGGGTACTTTGCAAAGAGAAACACGTAACTTTTAAAATAGTAACGGAAGAAGGCATGAAGCACTTTGAGTAGGATTTATTTTAATTTTAAGCTCAATATGCAAATCTCGAACCGTTCAAATTAAAATTGTGTAATGTGTCAGCTTTGTTAAAAGAGTTGCCACTTTACAAGGAATCATGTCCTTTTCGAATTTTAACGTAATACAAGTACTTCATATGTAGTATATCCACTTTGCATTCTTCAAGAGTCCGCGTATTTCGAGAGATGGCGATTCTCTCCAGATCGGCGCAGCTAGGGTTTCGGCAATCATCTGCGGAGTTTTGGCGGGCGGTGTTGTGAGTCTCACGGCGAGAGTGTCCCGGGTTTTCGGTAGCAGAATCTCGGTTGGAGTGCAAGGCACGATTCTTGGGTTTTGTGTTTGGAAGTCTATTGCAGACCATTGACGGAGTTTTGTCCCTGCGAGTTAGTGGGACAGCCAAGGAGTGCTGCGATTAACAAGAGATGTGGCTTTACCGAACAAGGAAGAGGCCAAAAGCAGTTGCGCGACAGAGAGGGAGGTAAATGGAATTCAGTGCTTTCAAAGACGACAGTAGATCTGAAGCGAATATGGTGGTGAGACCCGAGATTCCGATGATTGGTTTGGCTATTTTGGTCCTGGCAGTGGCTGAAATGGGAGTTACACCGGTTGTGTTTTGATCCGGGTGGAGCGCTGGAGGGTTGGGAGTCAGGTCAAAGGGGTGAAGCTGGGATCCAGGTGGGTGTTGGGGGATCGGAGCGGGTGTTCTGGCCGTCTCAGGTGGTGAAAGCAGAAGATGGTAGGCGGGTGATTCGTCCCCCTCCAGAACCGCCGCCACCAAGGAATCACGAGACTAGGGCTTCGAAATTGGCGGTGCGGCTTATATTTATTTATTTCTGTTATATTTTCCTTTGACATTTCAAATCGGGTTTTTCGGATATTTGTAAGTCGGATATTATCGGATATCGGATTGGGTTTTGGATACTTCGGTTATATTTAATAAAAATTATAATTGAATAATTAAAGTGTTTGAATGCCACTTTGACAAAAATTCTACAAACTAGTGCACTAAACATTCAAATTACGCAAATAATTTAATACAAATTGCATAAATAATTACACAAATAATTGAACACAAGTATTAATTTAACATATTCAAAGTACACACTTCATGATTTAATATATTTCAAATATTTCGGTTATATTAAAACACATTATAATTGGATAATTAAAGTGTTGGAATGTCACTTTGACAAAAATTGTACACACTAGTGCACTACACATTCAAATTACAAAAATAATTTAACGCAAATTGCACAAATAATTACACAAATAATTGAACACAAGTATTAATTTAACATATTCAAAGTACACACTAAATTATTTAATATATTTCATATATTCGGGCGGGTCGGGTTGGGATTTTACAAACCCTACCCGCCACCCGATCTAGGCCCAATACTAATCGGGTTTTTGGTTTCGGGTTTTTCGGGTCGGGTATCCATTTCGGTTCGGATATTATCCAAATAAAATTTCGGGTTTTGCGGGTCGGTTCGGGTTTTGCTCAGCCCTATCTGTTAGGTCATATAATAAGTGTGGTAGTTTCTTAGTTTGGGTTACCGTAGTTTAATTTTAGATTTCTAGTGAGAGGCAATCAGGCTGATTCAGCCGCTAATAGCCTCAAAACTCTCACATTTTCAGCGAAGTCTCGCTCCTTTTGGGGTGGACTACTCTATCTCTGATAAACAAGTGAGGGGCCGGGGGGGGGCTTCTGGTTATGGTTGGTTGGATGGAGGGTAGTGTCAGGTGTTTACGTTGTTTGTTGGCAAATTCTGATTGTACTGCGAATTCTGAATTAATATATATGGTAGTTTTCCTTTCAAAGTCTGCGTATTTCTTATCTTTATTACGGAGTAAAAAGAAAAGAATTATCACCTCTATTGAATTGAGAAGTTCAAAATGATCGTCTAGGTTTTCACATTGGGGAAAAAAATCCTTTCGGAGTGATAACTAATTAAGTTCTAATATATTTTTTAAACGGAAACTTGGCTCTATTCATATCATAAGTTTCAGAATCATTACATCAATCAAAGGAAAAACAAATCCGACACCAACTAATCTCCAACAGCTACAACTAAAAACCCTATGATCAGACTTAGAGACAGTCACCAATGAAAGAGCAACACGAATCGGCGGGAATCGTTAACTATGAAGCGGACTTGACACATCTATCTCTGGTCTCATAGATCCAAACACTCCCAATGACGTAAAAAAGACTAAAGTTCCTAATATTTTAATAACCTACTTCTTACCATCTCCATTTTCATATTATTTTTTAATTGAAAAAGAAACCCAAACTCTAACTAGATTCCTAAGTAATCAATGATTCAATTTAAATGTTATTCATTTCTTTGCTCACCTAAATA